TTTACATGAAATCCCCCACATTGGTTTCTTTTTCCATTCCTTTGATTAGTCAGCAAAACAGGTTAGTTTGCAATTCTAGCTATTTGATATTGTTGTCATTTCATTGACTTGCTTTTCAATACAACAGTTCTGTCGATAGATAGGGACATATTGGCCCGATCTTAATATTGCAGAATCATCAGATAATAAAGCCAGATAGTGTAAAGACTGATAATTGAGACAAACGGTGTCTCTAGTGAAAAGATGTCTCCCTGATGCATTGTCATCATATCAAAGCACTTACTGATTATGGTGAACAGACGTTGACGAATACATCAATCTTCGGGAGGCTAAACAGTGCAAAAAATGAAATCTACTGATTCTTTACATCATAATTGCATCATTAAGCCAGCAAACATGTCAATACCCAATGATTGATACAAATTTACAAGTATGCAAATAATTAAGACACAAAAAGATCCACTCCTCTGAAAAATGAATATGTTCCCCACACCACCTGCGCAGCAACATCTCAAACCAGAAGCAAATAAAGATTAAAAAAAACCTGACCCAGTTTATTACACAATGGGGAATACCTCTCTGATCCTCCTAGGAAAATTGAAACTCGTCTATCAGATGAGTCCCTGATAAATCTCTGCTATACATAGCTCATATATTGTCATATAGTGTCTCACAATGCCCTCAACAAACCTATTCTCATCTTTAGACACAGTTCAATTGATGAACAAATGGACTATTTTGCAAACTGAATCATACTTCCTACATTGCTGGGAAGAGACACATATTCCCAAAACTTTTCATCTTGGACTTAAGGACGAAGAATGCCAAATTTGAAACAGTGACATTAATTTATACTGCGGGGGAAAAGTAGTGACTCTGGTCAGCTGAGGCATTGTCATGGAGAAAGCTCCATGAAATTATATGGTCTCCAAGGTCCCAGGTAATTCAGAAAAGGTGCAAGGCTTGGCTGCCTGAAAGTGTGCACTTTACTCCTACCAGCATGACAATAGTTAAGGGTGCTGACGTGACACCATTTGATGATTTGAACCCAGCTCATGACCCCCTTGCCAAAAGACCAGGGGTGAGAGGGGGTAAGAACACTGCTGGGCTCCACCCCCTCAGTGAAGACTCAGCCTGTCCCAGCAGCAAAGCACTGACCACCTGGACACACACAGAGAGAGAGAGAGAGAGAGAGAGAGAGAGAGAGCAAGAAACTGTGACAGAGTGGGTGACAGTGAGAGCGGGTGTGAGAGAGTGCGGGTGTGACAGAGCGAGTATGAGAGAGAGTGTGTGAGAGAGAGAGTAAGAGAGAGGGTGAGAGAGTGAAAGGGAGAGAGTGAGGGTGAGAGAGAGAAACTGTTACAGAGTGGGTGGGAGTGAGAGCGGGTGTGAGACAACGCAGGTGTGACAGAGGACGAGTGGGTGAGTGAGTGTGAGAGAGAGTCAGAGAGAGAGAAAAACCCATCTTCATGAAAGACAGCCAGCCCTGCATTAGAGATCAAGGGGATTCCAACTTCTCAGCTTAATCATTGCGGGTAATATCCGTTTTCAGACGGATAGAGCTAGATAACAAGTAAATAATGTGGGAATTTGCAAAATGCTAATATGGAACATTTTGTCAACAGAAATTGAGTTGAACCACAAACCAAATTCTATGTTCTTTTGTTCACCTCACCAAAAAGTCTTTGTGGAGACAAAGTCCAGTCTTCACACTGATAGTAGTCCCCTTTTTTTTGTTTCTTTATTCATTAACAGGTTGAGGGTGTCACTGTTAGGCAAGATTTATTGCCCAGAGGGCAGTTCAGAGTGAAATTCATTGCTGTGGGTCTGGAGTCACATGTAGGCCAGACCAGGTAGGGACAGCAGTTTCCTTCCCTAAAGGACATTAGTGAATGAGATAGTTTTTTCCAACAATCAATTCATAGTCATCATTAGATTCTCAATTCCAGATGTTTCGTTGAATTCAAATTCCACCATCTGCCATGGCAGGATTTGAACCC